ATGACTGATTGCAGCAATTACCTGCCGATCCTTCTAAAGCATGGATAGATAGACCCATCAAAGATTCCTGAAAAGTAATCACACATCACAAATTAGAAATAAGTTGATGAAAGTTGAAAACTAGTACGACATCGAGTTGGGTGGGAAACAATTCGTCATCTTATTGTTGAGTGAGTCCTTCAGCACATCAGCACAATAAACGTGACAAAGACTAAGGAGCTCATAGTGGATCTGAGGAGGGCAAAAAACACCTGTGACCCCTGTTTCCATCCAGGGGTCCCTGTGGACACTGTGGAGAGTATAAGTACCTGGGGGTGTACTTTAATAACAAGTGGACTGGACCAGAAACACCGAGGTCTAAAAAAAAGGGCCAAACCATTCTCTGTAATCGACCTCAAACACGGACATCCACTTCGCACTTTCTTCTTCTGCACATTTCATAAACTGTAAATTTAGACTTCACTTTGTGTAATATGGTTGATAATTAGTTTATATATAAATATTATATATATTCGATTATTTTCTTAATAATTATTATAGTTGTATGTAATAGTTGTATGTAGATTTGGAGTTGTAACGAAAGTAAATTCCCTGGATTATTAAAGTATTTCTGATTCTGATTCTAATCAAAGAATAAAGAATGGCAGAAACATTGGTGGCTAAGGTTACCACCTAGGTGTGACTTAGTGACTTAGAACCACTATACACAGCTGGCTGGCAGATTTAACCCAGGAGAACTGTGATGAAATGCCAATTAAACCATTTTATTGAACGTTTTTAGTTGCCAATCTTCCTCGACATGTTGCAATTTAGCCACAGGATTCGTATATTTGCCAATTTACATTTTCCTAGATAGGCGACCACTCCCTCCACCCAAATCAAACCAGCAGCTGGTTATCTTATCTTAGCCTAGCTTAGCACAAAGACTGGAAACAGGGGGAAACAGCTAGCCTGGCTCTGTCTAAAAATAACTAAAGAATCTGCCCCTCTAAAGCTAACTAATTAAGACATTATATCTTTTTTGTTTAATCCGTGTGCTGGAGTGATGGTGCGTTCAATTTAACTCGGAAGTCCATAGTCAGAGTTTGTAATGACATCACAGCCAAGTTGACCACGTTCCAATAAAAGTCCCAAAACTAGCCAGGTTAGCCATACCAGTTGATAATGCATTATGCTGTTTTTTGCTCATACAAACATGTCTACAGACAGAAGTTGGACAGTAATGTGTGTACGACTGTTTTAATGAGACTCAAAAGACAGAAGAGCTAATAAACAGTGTATTACTACAGCTCTCACTTGGTTGATGCGTGGAGCAGCCATCTTGGGTTAGTGAGGTTCTTTCAACTTTCCTAGTTGTAAATGTGACAGGGGGCGTTCCAGCTGAAATTTCTGACAGAGAACAAAACAATTCTGACTTTCTAGTTCCTTATTATTATTATTATTATTGTTTTATTATTTCTTGAACCAATTGGCAGGCAAGCAACAGGGTCAAGTTATTGGTACCTTTGGACCGAGCCACGCTAGCTGTTTCCCTCTCTCAAAAGTTACATAGTCTTGCTTTAACTGTGTGTATAGCCTAAACACAAAGCTAGAGGCTCTGCAAACAGTCAGTCAAATCTTTTTTTGACTGATTTTAGTCTCTTATGCTTTGGCCAGGTGATGAGTTGGAGTACCTTCGGCCCAACGTTTACCGCAATGTAGCACGACAGCTCAACATCACAGTGGCGTCAGAGAACATTGTGTCCGATGCCTTCCTGGCTGTGGCTGCAGACATTTTCTCCACAGGTAAGTCCACATCAAAATCTGGTTGTGCTGTAAATCAAGCCTTGCATGCAGGCCTGTGTCATGGGAACTAACTTTAGTGCTTTGTTATCTGTTTTATCTCTGAGCTACACAAATTTGGGCTTAAAAATAAAGGAAGATTACAGTGAGTTTGTCCTTTTAGGGAACTTCTTTATTTTGTTGTCATTGGGAAGGAGGAACTTGAGGCAGATACAATAAAGATATTGAAAGTTTGGAGAACTTATGTTGCTTTTTCTTTTAAATTACTAGAGAAATTGAGTTTTTCCTCTCAAAAATAAACCAATTCCAGCCTCCTTTTTCATGTAAACACCTCTTTTCCAGGGTGACCACAGGACTCTTCAGTTAGCCAGAAACATTTTTTGCGGTCATTATCCCCTCACAGGAAAGGAACCGTAGGAGAAACATTCAGTCCATATTAGGTTAACTTGTTGCAAGAGCGAGTGATTGTTACGGACAGTCTGGACCCCACCCAGTGAGTTCAGTCATGAACCTCAGCTGGCTTATTCCTTAGGGAATCTAAGAAAGCAATCTACTGCAAGGAGTGAAAATCAGGTTTGTCTGGTCCTTAGTACGTGCAATGTTACATACAAAATCTACTTGACTTCTTCAATCATTGTAGAATTGAAGAATATCTACCTTAATCCAAACATGCTCTTATGGTTATGAATGTGGTATTTATTTAGGGATTTAGATGGGGAAAAACAAGTTGCAGTTGGGCTTCAGTTTCAGTTCACAGTTTGGAAATGTGGCCCTCAGTGATTACAGTGTAAAGTTGGACATATTGTCTAGACATGTCACTGTGTGAAGAGGAAGTCATGGGCAGCAGTAGATTATGACCACAAATGTGTCTAATGTGTATGAGCGCACACAAATGTCCTTCTGCATTCCACGAGGCACAGATAAACAACAGCAATAAAACAAAAACAAAACAGCTTCTCACTTCCCACGTTACACCATGCAGCAGCGTAGGATGGGATGGATTTTTCCTCTGAGTGCCCTTTATTTAAAGCTGTCCTGATGAATATTGTCATATTAACTGTGGCTCAAATTACTGTGTGTATTATGAAAGTTGTTGTGCGTTGTGTCAAAAAAAGAATATTTAAAAAATGGAGTGATGAGATGTCAGTGTTGTGTTTATAGCTTGTTTCCCCTGCCTACAAGTGGCCAAAGAATGCAAGTATACCTAAACCACTGGAGTACTCAAGTGGTGCTCTGATGAAACCTGACAAATGATGACTTGTTTTTCTCCCACGAGAGCACTATAGTGGCACAAGACCCTTACTTTTTCCATCTGAAATGGCTTCCTAATATATGTTTCTTTTATGCCCTTATGTTAAGAGAAGCTTGTTTTTTCTATTATAAAAGGCACCTATCTTAACTGAAGCTCAACTTGTGGACCATGTCGGTATACAGGATCAGACAGGCTACCTCCTGTGGTAAAACCCACATGTAAGGCCACACTGAATGGGGCATTATACTGATTAGTTATGAAAAGTACTTCTCAGTCTGTGAAAACAGTTGCATGATGTCCTCTGTGAGTTTAAAGGACCAGTGTGTATAATTCAGTGACATCTAGCAGTAAATTAGCAGATTGCAAGTCACTGAACACCGCTGGCGTCTGTGTTTGACGACCTGGGGATGAGAACGGGGGTGTGTAGGAGAAACTACGGTGGCTGGGAAACTCGCAAAAAAACGCAAATGGCCCTATCTACAACCAGTGTTTGGTTTGTGCATTCTGGGCTACTGTAGAAACACAGTAGATTCCCTGGAAGGTGACCTGTGGCGTCTGTAGATAAAAATGCAAAACACTACAGTTCCTATATGCAGGTGATTACACACTAATGAAAACATACCTGTGAATGTTAATAGAACCTCCTGAATGTTACACCTTTAAAGGTTCAGTGTCAAGTACAGGAAAATACCCCCAATCATGTCATCAGGGTTATCTGGGCTTGGGCTGGGAGACTTTGGTTATTTTAAGGAGGAATTTGTGTGCCAAACTGGGGGTGTGGAGTGTGAATGATGTGTGTATTTAAGAGGGTTGCAACAAAAAAACAGTTGCGTTGCATTATGGGAAATGTTGTGTAGGCTGGATCCTGCACAACATTTTAGAAACCTGGGAACTGGGAACTAAAAGCCAGAACATCTTGGCCTCCGCTGCATAGATTTCAACTGTTCTTTTTTCACCTGTCTCTCGCAAAAGCCTCCAAATTTATGAAAGCACTGAAAAGCAGAAGAACAGCGGTTGGCAGCTTGTGAGAAATGCATAAAGAGAAAGAGAAAGGGAACACATTACCTCATTCAAGATACCTAAAACAGAAGCACAACCAAGTCTTAAACTGTTAAAACTGGCACAGTATTGTTTAACAGGGAGCTGTTGCTTTAGTATTACTTCATACTTCAGTCCGTATGCTGTGTCTTCTACCACCTTGTTGATTATAGTTAGGGGGTACAACTAGTAGAATTAAACAGGAAGTAGCTGCCAGACTTAATTCTTCTATATTTTAGTTACTCCTTTTTATGGAGCACTCTGTAGCAAAGAGTAGATTTTAAAAGATTAACCGTCACTTAAATCTCAACTCACCGTAAGTTAGACAGCAGTGTTACAAGTGCGCACTACAGTATCATCTTGCAAATTCCAGATATCACAGTTAAAGAGAAGCACGACCTCCGTTTAGAGATTCTAGCAATGAATCAGTCGACAGTTAAAGAAGACTGATGGAGTCAAGGCTCAGTTTGTATGTGTTGGACATGTAAACACTGCAAAAATAGTCTGAGGCTTTGACTGTAAATGGTGTAGTGGCAGAAAGCTTCACTCAACCTGGGAACTAAGTTGGGAAAATGATCTGCCCACTAATCTAGCGAGACATACTGCCTGCATGCTGCCCTGAGCCTTGTGTTTGGGTTTTCGTCTCTGTGGGTCAGACAGGCATGGAGGCATAATGCCTGGCTGCTGCTCATGTTTTATAATTCGTCTCTAAAGAGAGCTGCTGACAGACTTTTGCTGCACTAAAAAATACTCTAACTAAAAAGAGCAGAGTCACTCCACTTTGATTTACCAAGAATCTTCACATCATTAAATAATCATTTTGTCTGCTAAACTTGCATGATTGGGCAATGTGTTCATACATCAGAAAGCAGCACATAAATAAATCTGTGCTTGAAGCTTTGAGCGAGGATGTAGTTTATTTAGTTCTAACCGTCCTGCAACCTTGTCTCCTTTCAGGTGTGACATGGGGGAAGGTGGTTTCTTTGTACGCCGTGGCAGGAGCCTTGGCAGTGGACTGTGTTCGCCATGGTCATCCAGCTATGGTCCATACCATTGTCGACTGCATGGGGGAGTTTGTCCACAAGAGCCTGACCTCCTGGCTGAAAAGGAAAGGGGGCTGGGTAAGGGACACTTATTTTTTATCTGATCACTTGTTTGTGTGATTGCTGAAACTGAAGGTGGTGAGTTTTCTCCCATTTGCACCATGCAGGGTGTAGCAAAGTATGTCACTGTAAAACCACTTAACCCTTCCATATATATTTGATCCGAGTCCCAGCTTTGATATATTATTGCAATGTTATATAGAAAATGAAAGTAACGTTCTGAATTTGAATTCAAATTTACTGATTGTAGTTTCTTTTGTTTTGGCAATTGTTTTCAATTTTTAATTTGATATATTGAAAAATAAGCCTATTAAGTATTTATGATTGTTAAAAATTTGAAGAAATATATAATACAGACAAAGAATTGTATAAACAAACAGGAAATAATCTGCTCAGAACTAATCCAAATCACTCTTTTAGACGAACTTCTTGCAGTTCACTATTTGGGTTTTGGGTTAATTATACAGTTTTGAAATATGTCACTTCAGTCAGTGGTTGTCAGTTTACTAAATGATGGAAAAGGGGTCCCTTGAAGAAAAAGGCTGGGTACCACTGTTAGAAGGAGGAACTTTTTTTGTGTTGATTTTGGTGGCCCCTGTGGACAAAAGCAGTAGTGTTTCATTGATTTCAAGGGGAATCCAACCAAATCTGACCCGGTGGCAGGCATTAACTATATAGAAATAGCCAGTCTTTTGCTGATGGTCTTCTTTGTTTATATAGAGGAATCAGTATTCAATTGAGACTGTTTCATAACCGGTAAAAAACTGTGAAGTTGCTGATATGAGTTAAAGATATGACACGGATGTAGTTTTTTTTAACTAACAATGAACAGTTAGACATGAACAGCAGCCACTCCTTCAGACAGAGTAGATGTGTTTTCTGCACAATCGTCTAACTGGGGAAAACCCTGTCTGATCAAAATCCAACAGAAACAATCAAGTGAAACTCAGGGACAAGAAGGAACAAGGCCTGGCAGCGTGCCTCTGTCTGTGTTCTGCTCTGCTGGAAAGAGCACAACAAGTGAACAAACGAATGCTCATGTGCTCAGAGACATGGCACCCAAGTCAGTTTTGTTTTGAAGATTAGTGGAGTGTGACAAAATGAAGAGCAATGGATTGTATAACTGACCTCATAAACTCAAATGAGTTGCAGTCTGAACTTAGACTGTAATATCTCTGCACTGGGAGGGGATGTCAGAGTGTAGGAAACTTAAATAACATTTTGTGACAGAGGGAGACGTGTTCAGTGTCAGGACTGACACTTCACTTTGCTCTCTGTGGAATTTCATTGTATATGAAGATTTTTTAGTCATATAAGTGGATTGCTGAAGGAAGCATTGCTGTGATTACAGTGTGGGCTTTGGCTTTGAAATGACATATTTGTGGGCAAGTTGTGACTGCAGATCCTCAGAATATTGACAAATCAGGAACACATGTGCACTCTTTTAGGTCTTTCTGTTGCGTATTTGCTTCGAATGTGACTGTTTTTTTGTTGTGTTCACGCAGTCAGAGTTTAATTGGTGACTCTGTGTCCTCTCTGCTGTCACAGGTGGATGTAACAAAATGCGTGGTGAACACGGATCCCAGCTTCCGCTCTCACTGGCTGGTGTCTGCTGTCTGTGCCTTTGGACACTATCTGAAGGCCACGGTGTTATACCTCCTCCAGGAGAAGTGAAACAAAGTCACACACTGGATTCTGAGCAGATTGACCAGCACTGTACACCACCAGCACCATTCCACTAAAGCCTCTGCTGCTTTGGATTATGTTTACACTCATTTGCACTGAGCCTTCATTGATGAACACCTATCCCTTCACAGAAAAATGACCTTTCCTGCTTCTACTGCTTCTTCTGCTAGATTGTCTATTTATTGTTAATGGTTGTATTATGGCACGCGTGTGATGTGAATGTATAAAATCATGTTTTTAGCTTTTCATTTTTCTAACTACTTTACTAACAGCAAAACTGCTGTTTGATGCCTGATTTTTGTTAGTTTGGCTGCCCCTAGTGGTTGAAAATGGTAACTACTGTATATTGACAGTAAGGGATCCTGAGGCCACTCATTAGGCTATGGTCTTACAAAAATCCCCACTTCTCACCTGGATGGTCATATTGATTTTGAAGCTACATGCCGGTAGACAGCAGACAAATAATTTACCCAGATCGTTACAAAAATGATTACGGTGAGGGGGCTCTGAAAAGAGGAATCTTTCCTTTTTGCTAAAGGGAGGGGAGTCTGATTATGTGGGGAGAGCGAGGAAGGGTTTATTATTATATGTATTTTTCTCACTCCAGATTATTATCTTATTTCACCCTGCCCTTACAAGAATCATGTCGAAATGGGAACAAAAAGCATATATTTTTGTATTTTTGTCTTTATTTTTATATATATAAGTTCAGATTCACACGTTGCCAACTTGTTCTACTAATTAGTGAAGAGAAATTAAACATTTCAACTGGGGTTCCATTAAATTATGGAAGTTTAAATTGGGGCACACCCTCTTAAATTGTTTATGATTTTTCTTCTTTAGTTATTAGAAGTGAAACAAGTGGTACCGAGTACTCATGTATTGTGTGTATTGGTTTATTGAAGGGTTTTTTTCTGAATCAAGAAGAGATAAGTAAATATTAATTATGCTGTGAGGGCCTTGCTTCTTTTTTAAGCCTAATATAAGAGTCTCACCACTCCAATAATGTTTGTACAGTCCCTAATGAGTCTGGAGATTTGAGCCTACATTTGATATATAAATACATGTATGTAGTTCAGACAGCACTGTACACTTTTTCTCTTTATTGCTTATTGTGAAGCAGTATATTATATTGCTGTACTGTAATTGCAGTAATGCAAGTTACAGTATATCTTCTCTGAGTTATAGCACTTTGATAACATTTCATTTTATGAGTAGATTTTATTCCATGAATAATTTCACTTTTATGAGGCATTTAGCACTAGGACATAATAAACAAATGTTTGTGAGTCATTTTCAACTGTAAATATAAGCAATAATAAATGGTTCTTACAACAATCTGTCAAGTGTGCAACAGTAAATGTTGATCATTTCTTAATGAACAGATTCTGTTTTGCAGCTGTTTTCCGGAAGCAGTCAACGGTCTATTGGAGAGGTATGGGGATCCCAGGCTGAGCTGATTTACTGGTTGAATGTCAAATAATGAGAATTTGAACACTGTGCTAATATAAAGTAGATGTACTGGGAGAGTAGAGGACGTGATTTTGTACTTTATACACCTAGATCTTTGTATTCAACTGTAAGAATGAAGTAATGCAGTTTGGCTCTGTGGTAAAGGTTTTGCATACAGAAACTTATGGAAATTGAGTGAAACATGAAACGTGTACCAGATGTTTGTGGGCTTAACTACAACTCTGTGGACTTTAGTGTGTGACATGTCCAGACTATTTTTCTGTGATCAACCAGACAACAAATGTAAAAAGTTACTGTTTTGGAATATTTTTCTCTAAAAGCTGTCGTCTGAAAAAAAGGAAAGTGAATAAGTCATTCTACAACATCTGACAGAAAAAAAATGTTTTGGCCACCTGGGAAGTCTTTTTGTTTTTTGTGGGAATAGATGAATATTATATAAATGTAAAATGGCATCAGCCTTAGCCTTAGCAAGTTGGAAACTTTCATGAGTCCCATATTTTCCATTATTACACTTTTGACTGGTTTTACAGTCAGTTATCCTTTGAAAGCAGGAATTTAAAAACAAGAGTTTGTAACCAAATTAAAACTTTGATTTACATTTATTATCAATGTTTTTATGTCCAGTACATTTGTGGTCAGTGTGTTTTGTGTACACCACACATAATTTGCACAAACAATACAAACCAACTGTTTGAATCAGACATTTGCATAATGTAATACTTTTTTTTCTCCCAGCTGCATAGTTTTTTTTTTTTTTTCAGCCCAAAAAGGCTTTTACAGTTGATTAGTGCAAGTTTTAAGGCTTCAACGTGCACAGGAAAAACCATAAAACCTTTCAACAGCACAGTCCATGTCAATAACGCCAGCTAATCAGCAACACCGTGTTGACAGATGTGTGTTTACCTCTAAGGTCAGCTACATCTTGGAGTGAGTGATTGTATTTACAGATAGAGAGATCCCGCATGTCATCATCGTTGTCCTGTACATCCCTCCCTCTGCAAACCCAACATCTGCCTGCAGCATCATTCACACCACCATCTCCAAACTACAA